TACTTGTTTGAGACTGTACCAGATTCACTATATGTGGCCTTGTAATTCTGATCAGGTAATCATGCCAAATTGCATTGCAGTTATTGCACTCTGAACCCATTTGGGTATAGAATGGGTCCACCAAAGCCATATTTCTGAACACAAGCTGGACTTAAACCTGCTCTTCTGAGATAAGGCTAGTGTATTAACTCACTGTATTTCAAGTCCTTCTAAAAACAGGCATAACCATTATCCCCTTCAAGGTATGACCTCCAGTTTTTAGTTTTCTTTCCCAAGCTGTTGGCATGGCACAAGAACAGCATGAGAAAAGACAATCCACATTACTGTCACCCACTATGAGTGACTGTTAATCTCACACTTTTATTCATTCTCCAAACCAGGAGGTACCTGAGGGTTTCCTAATGTGTACTCTATCTAAAGGGGTGTCTTGCCTTGTGGTTACTTCCTGTTCTGTTTGCAGTTGCAGAATCTCTCTCTGAGGTGTGACTACATATCATCCCCGTAGCAACAAAGCAATGCACAACAGGAAAAGAAAACACGTTACTTGGAAAGTTTTTAATGATTTTAAGCTTCTTTTCATGTGCATTAGCAGCTAGAAGCAAGTCCTGTCTCTGCGACCTTAATTCTAACAAAAAGGTTTCAGAGTTGTGTATTTTTCTATCTAGGAGCAATGGTACCAATGTAAAGGAGCCATAGCAACAAAGGTTGCAAAGCTCATAGATCAATGGGAGAGGTCTTCAAGTGTCATCTGGGAAACTCAGAGAGAAATCCTGACAGTAGAGAGACAAAGAAAGTGTTTTAATATCCATTCTTCACTGCTGGCCTTTCTTCGGTCCTATTTGTTGCCAGCCTGAGCCCAAAACATGCAGTAGAGCACAAAGAAGACCTGGGATCAGATTTGTGGCTCCTGTTTTCTAGGTCCTGTGCCACATCTCTGATTTAAGCCCTCGGGTTTCTTGTTCAAATCATTGGAAGATTTTGGTGCCTAAGAATAAATGTGTGTTGTGCTGTTCCACTGCCTGCCTGTCTTGCCTGCAGGGCCCAACCTGGTGGGCAGGCATTCTATACACGTGCTCCAGCATGGGGGGCAGGGGGGTATTTTAATTAAGAGCGGCTCTCAGGAGCTGCTCTAATTAAAATGCCCACAACACCTCATGTATATCAGCATCCTGCACTTCAAAATGGCGGCAGGGGTGCTTAACTATAGCTCGTTTTACGAGCTTCAGTTAAAGCGCCCCCACTGTCATTTTGAAACATGGGGACGCTGAATACATGTGACGGCGAGGCTGCTGGAGCGTTCTAATTAGAACGCCCCAGTCAAGTCTGCTCCAGAGACCCTCATGTGTACAGGCACCAGTTAGAGCACATCTGAGGACACCAGCTGGACTCGTGGCATCCTGTTCATTATAGCCAGCTTGAAACCCAGTCTGATAGGTGTGCTTTAAGAATGCTCAACACTTAAAATCCTGCTGAGGCATAGTTGCTGAGCTGCTCAATTTCCATCAACACATAAGTGTTGTATGTACATTCAGTGGCCAAAATGTAGGTATCTAGGGAACTATCAGTTGGAACTTCAGCACCAGGGGAATTCTGGTGCCACTGAGGTTAGACAAAAGCTGAAAGGTGGTTCTAAAGATCGACATTCTAGAATTAAGTATTTAAGGATCTATTTGGTGTTCAAATCCCTTTGTGGGGTCTAGCCATAGAGAAGCAATGTTCTTTGTTCCCAATGAGTAAAAGTCAGGCCCGCTTTCAGATAACTTAGACTCATGCCACACTATTTAACATGCTACCCTCTAACAACTTACAGGTAAGTTGCAGACTACAGATTTTGTGTCACTACCTGAATTTAACTGTGTGTGTACTTTGGTAGTAATGGTGTTGTAGTTGGGTGTCCTGGTATAGGTACAACTTGAAAGGAAGAAAGAGGTTTTCTGCCACCAGCTACACTATGTCCCCTAAATGGAAGAAGCACTGCCAGCAGAACCTGCCTTCTGCCAGTGTAGCTATGTCTACTTTTTCTCCAGAGCATTGCCTTAAAACTTATTAGCATAATTTACCTGATAACTCCTAGCTGTGCTGATTGCAGGTCTCTGACTCAGAGTCACAGGCTCTCAGTACAAGCCAGAAATGCAAAGGGAGAACTTTAATTTGCATTATTGACAGGAACCTCAAATCAGCAAACAAGTCAGGTGTAGTACAAGCCTCTTCTTCCTGACACACTCATTCCTGGCTTCCAGAATGCCTTTGACACTTTGATTCCTTCTACTTACTGTGCGGGCCGGGAGCGACCCGAGCCCTTTTTCGCGCTGCACGCGGGCTGTGGCCAGCAGCCCGGGCACGCGGGGGTGGAGAGGGAAGGCCGTCGAGCTGGAATTAGGCACGGACGCGTAGCGGTAATTTTAAAAGATTGTTTACTTACACCGAGATGGCAGTGGTGTAGGCTGGAAAGCTTGATTAAGTTGCAGTTACAGACAAACAACACAGACGGTCTCATGGAGGTTGCTAGGCTCCACAGTGCAGAGCTCTGGATGCTCTGGGTGAACGAGCCACCAAAGTAGAATTCGTAAGTACGTCTTATAAGAGTTGCATTCGAAGACGGGAAGAGGTGGGCGGTGGATCAGGCCGCCACGCTCCTCTGGATCTCACACAGGGTTTCTATTACCCTGCCGTGTACCCAGAGTCCCCACGAGATGGATGTGGAGTCCTCTTCGGCTTGGGCGGAAACCGCTCAAGCCTCTTATACGGCTAACAGGCCAATCATTAGCCGCCACGTGTGAATAATTTAGCACTAGCCAATTATGGGGAACAAATTTGCATACCGGTGGCGGGAACTCTTTTGCACCGTGCATTCCTCTTGCTACATGAGCAATGCACTCTGCAAAAGAAGCTGCAGAAAAGGCGGGAAACTGGTCCCTACACCGGGGTTTCCTCTTGCTACAGGAAACTCTCCCGTGCAATGCTCTGCAATTTGACGGGGATAATTCTGGTGCCAAAGCACACACACAATCATGCCTTTTGGGTCATGACACTTACATAGAGAGGCATGGCTAACATAGAAGGCAGCAATGCTGCCCTCTCAACTTTATACCAGCTAAGACTTCCTGTATCCAAGGAACATGCTCCTCTGGCTATTTCCAGCATTTTCAAACAATCTTAGACTCTTAGTAGGTCAGAGAATCCAGCCCTAGAACCCCAAATACACTGTGAAGTCCTGTTCTGGAAGATGGTTTATTTTCTATAAACCAGAAGTTTCTGCCTATTTTATTACTTGGAAGCACTTGATCTTATGTCAGTAAAGAATTTTTAATCTGATTGATTATCTTTTGTATAAATGAACAACCCCTAGATAGATTGGCATATAGTTTCATAGTTTCATAGTTTCAGGGTCGGAAGGGACCTAATAGATCTTCTAGCCCGACCCCCCGCCAGGGCGGGAGAACAACCCAAAAACACAAACAAAACCACTCACCCTAAAAACAAAAACGGGACTCAAATGAGTCCAGCCAGGTAAGTATCCAGCCTCTTCTTAAAGATCCCCAGGGTAGGGGCCAGCACCACCTCCCTTGGAAGTTGGTTCCAGCTCCTAGCCGCCCTGACTGTGAAGTAGTTTTTTCGGATGTCCAATCTGTACCTCCTCTCCATCAACTTGTGCCCATTATTCCTTGTTATGCCAGCAGGGGCTAGGGGAAACAGCGTCTCCCCCAAACCCTTCTGGTTCCCCCTAGTGAGTTTATAGACGGTCACCAGGTCCCCCCTCAGCCTTCTCTTGTGGAGGCTGAATAGGTTCAAGTCCCGCAGTCTCTCACTGTAGGGTCTGCCCTGTTGTCCCCGGATCATGCGGGTGGCCCTCCTCTGGACCCTCTCCATGTTGTCCACATCCCTCCTGAAATGGGGCGCACAGAACTGGACACAATACTCCAGCTGCGGCCTGACCAGCGTCGCATAGAGGGGGAGGATCACCTCCCTGGCTCTACTCGAGATGCACCTGTGGATGCACGACAAGGTCCGGTTAGCCCTGCCAACCATGACCTCGCATTGTCGGCCCATGTTCATCTTGGAGTCAATAATGACACCAAGATCCCTTTCCGCCTCCGTGCTCTCAAGTAGGGAGCTCCCCATCTTATAAGTGTGCTGCTGGTTCCTACTACCCAAGTGCAGCACCCTGCACTTGTCCGTATTGAAACGCATCCTGTTCCTGTCTGCCCACCCCTGTAACCTATCCAGATCCTTCTGCAATCTCTCTCTCCCTGCTAGCGTGCTCACCTCCCCCCAAATTTTGGTGTCATCAGCGAATTTAAACAGGTTGCTCTCCACCCCAACATCAAGATCGCTGATGAAGACATTGAACAGCGCAGGGCCCAGGACCGAGCCCTGAGGGACTCCACTACCCACCTCCCCCCAAGTCGAATATGATCCATCCACCACCACCCTCTGAGTGCGACCCTTCAGCCAATCTGCAATCCATCTGACCGTGTAGGCATCTATGCCACAGTCGCCTAGTTTACTAATTAGGATGGGGTGAGAGACGGTGTCAAAGGCCTTGCTGAAGTCCAGAAAGACTACATCCACCGCAACACCTGCATCCATGGCCTTTGTGACCTGATCATAAAAGGCAATCAGGTTGGTCTGACATGATCTCCCCCTAATAAATCCATGCTGATTGCCCCTGAGCATCATCTCGGATGCCGGCCCATCACAAATGTGCTCCTTGATGATCTTCTCAAAGAGCTTCCCCAGGATTGAGGTAAGACTGACGGGCCTATAATTGCCCGGGTCCTCCCTTTTCCCTTTTTTGAAGATGGGGACCACATTAGCTACCTTCCAATCGTCTGGCACCTGGCCCAAGCACCACGATCGCTCGTAGAGCCGTGCCAGGGGCCCTGCAATAACCCCAGCCAGCTCCCTCAGCACCCTGGGGTGGAGAGCATCCGGACCCGCTGACTTGAACGCGTCCAGCCCCTCCAGAAGCTCTCTAACCCGGTCCTCCCCAACCTGAGGTCTGAAGGCGATCCCCTCGCGTCCGGCTTCTATCACAGCAGGGAAGTCCCGGTCCCTGCACAAGAAAACGGAGGTGAAGAATTGGTTAAAGAGGTCCGCTTTATCCTCTGACGCAACCACCAGATTGCCCCGCAATCTGGTGGTTTCCATATAGCATGGAAAATGGACATTTTAGTGACTCCTTTATTTTTCCCTCTGCCTAAGAATAGCCTCTTGGAGAATTTAAGTCATAAAAGAGAAAAATTCATATCAACTTTGTTAGATTCTGGATCTGGCCGGTTTATAAAAGAAGCTATGGACCAGCTGAAGGTTTGAATATAGCTGCTTTCTGATGTCCTATGAATTATGAGTTTTGCCGTCCCTTTTACATTTTACACACTCTCTCTCAAAATGAGAGAAACTATATGCATCATATAAACAAACAGACTAGGGAAAATAATCCAGTGTCTATGAATCCTCATTAATCTCCCAATGAGGAAATAAACATCTCAAATCATCCATCTTGAAAGATGTAACATTTTAATTTATGATTCATATATCCATGCTGATATACTATGAATTTAAGGGGGAGGATAGGGGGAAAACTATAGTCAGTATGTTTAATGTTCCAGTTGTTCACACTGTTCTGATTTTTATAGATTAGTAAAATTAACTTCCTAAAAATGCATACTGTTTTAGTAGCAAATGGCTTGTACTACTTACCGTTGGATTGTTCAGCTATATCATAGGAACAGATGCTGCTCCATATGAGATGGTTACTTCTGTAAAAGGTACAAATAAGGCAGGTATATTGGTATCCCCACAGGGGAACACTAAAGCATTGAAATTATCTAATTAATCTACATTTCTTCTTGCTATCCTGATGTTCTGTATTCAAATGGCAGTGTTTTCTCTTCCACAGAATGCTAGTTATTCAAGATGCTGAAGGTTATGTTGACAAAGGTTGAAATTTTCAAAGCAACTTAAAGGATTTAGATACACATATATCATTATAATACATGGTAGATGTACCCAACTCCTTTGGATCATCATTTGCTAAAAGCAGAGAACTACACAGGATCACAAAACAAATTCCTTCCCTTTACTCTCCCAACAATCCTAACCATGCCTTAATTTGTTCATTTTCTGTGGTCTCTCAACTACTACAGTCCCACGTTTTGGGAAATAGTACCCCACATTGCTAAGAACATCTCAACCATAGTATAGTCCAGTCACAGATCTTACAGTTTCAATGCAACAAAAAAAATATTGCAAAAGAAATTTGTGGCAGGGCACTTTCGGGTGCCTGCCCCTTTAAGGCTGGGAGCAGGCAACTGACAGGTGCAGACCAGCCCTGATGAGGCAGCCATTTTAGATCTAGGCTCTCAGGTCTGAGGTAGCAGTCTGCTGCTGACAACCAAAGGAGCAACACCTGGCTGAGCTGCTGCTTGGAACATCCTTGGAGATAAGGGCAGGAGCTATAGGGATGGCAGGAGGCTCCTGGTCTTGGGTATGACTGAAAACCACATCCTGCCGGGGAAGGATGGCCTGGTGGGGCTACCCGTGGCAGAGGAGTTCCCCAGAAATGCCAGGCCAGTTGCCTCCTCAGTGAAAGGCAGGGAGGGGTGCCATAAAACTCCAGCCCCACATCCCGGTGGTCCCAGACTTAGAGACAGGCACAGGACCAGACACGTCTTCAGACATCTGAGCCCTACACAGGGTAAGACTCTGGAGGCCCCAGGGAGCAGGCAGTAGCATGGCCCAGAGAGAGAGCAGGAGAGTGGCCCAAGAGCAGGGGCAATAATGTATTGTGGGCCTGCACAGATTAGGGGGCGTTGTTATAACCTGAAGGACTGTGTGTAAGCAAGGTGTAGAGTAGGACTGAAGGTCAGTTTGAAGAGCTGCACCAGGGGGTGTGTTGAGTAGGGCTGAAGGATGGCTTGAAGGGCAGCACATGGGTCAGCCCCCATGAGCATGTGATTGTGGAAAGTTGCCTGGTGAGGGGCTAGGGGCAGAATCCACCCAGCGTTAGGCACGAGGCTAATGCCATGTAGAGTAAGAGAGCACGAGCGATCTGAAGGGCTGCGTGTGCAGTGCCAACACGATAGTAGTTAAACCTGATGGCCCAAGGGGGTCGCTCAAGGGAGCAGGGCAGGTTGTAAGTGGCCCAGTGAGGGGCAGCGTACAAGAGGCCCCCTGAGAAAGGGCAGAGTGAAAGAGGCCCCAGTGAGAGAGGGACAGTATGAATGTGGCCCTGGAGGGGGCAGTGTGTGAGAAGCCCAACAGTGAACCAAGTTTGGCCTGCCCTGAAGCTGGGGTGCCATCTGCGAGGTATGGAACATAGTGTAGGGATGGTACAGAGCCATGTATAGCACCCCCAGGCATTGGGGCATTAAAATGGGCAGTCTCCTGCATTTTACACCAATTTAAGAAACAGCAAGTAGTGACAGGTGAGACTGGGCGGACTGCCCTGCTTGGACAGGTGGTTTTAACATCTATTACATAGTTACTTGTGATAGCAGCAAATTAGACTTGACCATACAGGTTGAGCCTTCCCATCCTAGGTTCCTAAAATAAAATTGGTCTCAAGACAGTGTTTGCCATTCGTGAAACTTCTCTGATTCATCCAAGCAGTTTTACATCAGTAGCCTACAGAAATAAATATTTTTATTTAATAGATATATTTTAAAACAGCTAAATCCTAAGGTGTTTGGTATGCTCTCCCCTTCCAACTATATCAGATGGAAAGTATAAGTCCTAAAGGCCTAAATCCTGCGTTTTTAGTAGCAGCCAGTACATGGTGATATTCGACAAAGCTGGTCACATTAGGGACAAGGGGTCTTCTGCTCTAGCAAGACAGGAGTGGTCTTGGTAGTCTACTGAAAATGGCATGTTAGATTTGTATTGCAACTTCTCTGAATAAAGACCACTTGTTTGACTGATCATCTGCTTTGTTTGCATCCTAGCTAGGGTACTTTTGCTACCAAAGACTCTTCCGCTGGCCAGTGCATGATCCCTGGTGCATGTCAGAAGTGTAGCTGTATGAACAGTCTTGCACAGATTCTATCAGCCTCCTACTCCTTACCGAGGATGCAAAATCCACCTACACCTTTTTCCCTCTTTGCTTGCCAGGAAGGAATTTACCCCATAGTGAGGATTTGGATAAACAAAGCTCTAAGCATTAAATCAAGTACAATGTAAGACTTTCCTAGTGGGTAAAGAACTACACATAACACCTCCTGCTTTCTAAATATAGAACAGACATTTCACCTACAATAGAATCTACCAGGGTAGTCGTGATACTTGTGAATAGACATATTTAACACAGCAGGCACTGGTACAGACCCCATAATTAGTTTCACTGCAGAGACTCACTACATAGCCGATGAGTCAGGGAATACAGTAAACTAACAAAGAACTTTAAATACATTAATAGGTTCAGTGTAATTGAAGGCTACCACTTATGGAAAGTTATTAGTTTTTCTGAAATTAGAATCGGTGGAGGAGAAAAAAGGAATCACAAAAATGTTCCATTTAGCAGAAGCATCACTGAGAAGGAATAGAAGAGTGATCAAACAAAACAGAATACAACTGCTAGGCAACAGTCTGGACTGCAACACTGCACACGCTGCCATTTCTAGAACTAGTAAGTGACTAAGAACATTGTGATAGTATTTCAGTCCTTGGCTTCAGATGAAGATTGGTAGAAGTGTCTTTATATTTTAGTCACCTGTAGCTGCAACTTGTCATTGGACGTTTGCAAAAGCACAAGTGCTAAGTAATTTACACTAGTCAGGCCCTCCCAAGTTGTCATATTTACTAGTTGCACAAATTTGTAGCAAAGAATTGCCAGCAATTAGTTCTTGTTGTGTCATTCTCCCTCCGCCCTGCCCCGCGCCCCCCGCAGTGTTACAGTGTTTAGTGTTCTCACATTTTTTTTAACCATCTGTGTGCCCAGCTTGCTCATGGATCTGTCTGGTACTTTTTCCTATTAATCTGCCTCCTATTACTTGAGGTCTCTCCATTCTGATATTGGGAGTAGGGGCATGTCGGGTAGCTAATTTCAGAGGCCAAGTTGACCACTGTCTTATGACATGAGCAACCCTAATATGTTTTGGTGATACATAGCCCAGGTGCTACTGAGAACAAGAATGCTGCTCTTGAGCAAAGGGAATAAGAATCAGCACTCATCCCCAGAAAAGTCAATGAGCCAGAATCAGATTGCCCAACATGTTGGCTCAGATGGCTGAAGGAACATAGAGAGAGAGAACTCACAATAACATCTTTGTTTATAAGGAGACAAAAGACATCATTCCTCCCTGCCCAACTCTCCTCTCCACCCCTCTGTGTCACCTACTAGGACATCTGGGACAGGCCGACCCAGTTTCTTCTTGTAGTAGTGGCTGTTGTTAAAGGAGCTGATTTCATTCTCATTTCAGTTACCCTCCCTATTGAGTGACTGAGCCTACTGTTTGTCAACAAGGGCTGTAACCAGAATATATTCTGTATCTCTTGCCTTCTTAAGTGGCAGTGCAGTCCATAAATGCCTTTTTCATCTAAATTTGACTAAGGGGTCACAACTTACATGCAGGACTTGCTGTACTTATCTCTCTAATACATTTCTCTCTTATCTAGGTTAGTGTTCCCATTTCTGTAGAATGTGATCATCTACTCAGCACTCCACAAATGGGATTACTAAAATACACTCCACCTAGGGCTGTTTTCAGAAACTCTTCTGACACTTGAAATAAAGCAAAGTGAAGCTGTTTCTTTGTAGTACTATTTGTACAGAGCTCTTTACACTTATTTTTAATACATTCCATTCATTTATTTCCTGGTGTTGACAACTGCTGACAACATACCCTTAGAGGACCCCATAGAGTATGATTCCCCAACTGGTCTCACAGCAAGAGCATGTTGGTTTTCAAGGAACGATGAAAGTTCACATATTTACTTAGCCCCTAGCATGACTGAAAAACATGGCCAAAGGTAGGACAGTGGAATTCATATCTTATCATTTGTCAGTTTGATTGATGGGTATTTAGTACATGTGCCCACTTTTGTGCTGCACATTCTTATAGGAAAGGAATACACAAGCCATAGCTTGTTTGTGATAATTAGAGTTTTAGTATTATGATGTCAGTATTTACAGGCACTGCATAGCAAAATTAAAATCTATCAGTTGGAATCTATGCAAGAGACAGTTAAAATATATAATTATACACACTAAATACTTGAGTGCCAAATTCCCTTTGTGTATCATCCATCAGAGAAGAACTTTATGCATACTAGTGCACATAGCATTACAAAGCCTCTGAAGTAGGAAGTACTATTCCTACCTAAGAGATGAAAACCTGAGTCACAGGAGCCAACAAACAGATTTTTAAAGGTATCTAAGTGCCTGACCATGGAGATAGGTGTCTAATGGGGAAACTGCATGCATTTCAATGGACCATCATGATTGCAACAATGCTCCAAACCTACTATTTATTTCAATGGGAGTTTGGTACTTAGGTGCTTTTGAAAATTTCACTGGGCACTCTTTTAGGTGCTTAGATACCTTCTAAAATCTGCTCCTATGACCAAGGTCATACAGGCAGATGTGGCAGAGCCAGGAATTGACTCTCAGTCCCATTCTTTAACCACAAGATCATCCTTCCACTCTTACACAGGCATATCCAGAATTGATTTTTCAAATGTTAATGTCAGCTGTTTTAATATTATCATTGCATTTGTTCCCTATGTTTCAATCTGTACCAGCTTATCTCTAAACATAGATTTTGAGCATTGTTTGTTGTAGGGAAGAGGACGGCTTTTTATACACACCAATCTTATTCTAAAAGTTCCTGAGATTTTTCCTCCTCTTT